CATCTACGTTTGATGGACATATTATTAATTATCTCTTGTCAAGATTTTATTTACTTCACCTCAATTAAAAATGTCATCCGCACAATTTTAGATAAAGAATTCTGAAAAAGACTGAACCGAAATATCGTTAATTTATTTACTTGCTGTAATCTCTTTTTAAACAGAAAAATAACATGTTTAAAAGTTTGATCTAACCTATAAAATAATTTATCTAACTTATAGAAATACATCTAAACAAGTTAATAACATGAATAAAAAAGAAACTTGATGATAAAAACACACTACAAATTCGATTGATTATCATGTAATAAGTGAATACAAACTATTTGATCCCATCTTAAAATAAGTGTTAATTAGTAGGGATGTCTTTGTTGACAAATTAACTAGTTGGACATGAACAACCACCAAAGAAAATTTAAATGCTTAAAAAGTGTTATTTGAAGATGAAAATATAATAGAACAAACCAAACTCATTGATCATTGTGCGAGAAGATAATCCAGAAGTTACATAACTCCTATCTCATGTTCATGATTATAAAGTGTTTAGTGATTCAACTATATCGGAGAGGAAAATCTAATGCATTTTGCACTCATTATAGAGTCTCGAGTGAAAAATTATACAGGAGGAGATTGATTCAATTGAAAGGAATCGATTTTGGAGCTTGTTAAGTTGCCATCGGACAAGAAACCAATTGCACTCAAGTGAGTTTATAAAATTAAAGTAAATCCAAATAGTGACTTTATAAGATAAAAAGCAAAACTTGTAGCCAAATGCTTCTTGTAGAGAGTTGCAATAGACTATGATGATTGCTAGCATTAAAACTATGAGATTGATGGTTATTATTGCCATGAATATTAACTTTTCCTTACACTAGTTAGATGTTAAATCATCTTTTCTTAATGATCCTATTGAAGAAAATGTTTATGTGCAACAACCTATGGGTTTGAGCATAATAGAGAAAAGCATAAAGTGTATAAGTTGAAAAATGTTTTATATGTATGGCTAAGCAAGAACCAAGAGCATGGAACAAGCAGATTGATGGTTTTCTTTACAAAATTGACTTTGTTAAATGTATGTCTACATATGGAGTCTATGTAAAGCCTGGAAGAACAACAGTAAAGTTGAAAAATATCATCATATAGTTGTACATTTATGATCTTTTGATTACTAGCAGCTATGAAGAGTTCATAGTTTGCTGCAAGAATGAACTTCTAAAAGAGTTTAAGATGAGCGATTTGGGAAATCTGAGTTATTTCTAGGTATTGAGTTCAAACAAACTTTATATGGGATGATTATGCATCAGACAAAGTATGTTCATGATATGCTGGAGAAATTTGAAATGTAACAAAGTAATCATGCCAACACACATGCAAAAATAGGATTGAAGCTTGAGAAAAATCCTAATGAAGAGAGGGTTAATCCTACACAATATCAAAACATTATTGAAAACTTGAGGTATCTGTGTAACACTAGACCAGATTTGAACTTCAATGTTGGGTTGATGAGTAGATATATGTAATAACCAAAAGTATCACACCTTCTTGTTGTGAAGTGCATACTTATATACCCACATGGAATTGAAAATCTAAGAATTTTGCTTTCGAAAGGGGATAATGAGTTTATGTGTATTTTGATGTTGGTTGGTGTGGTAACAAGAGTGATAAAAATATCACGACCGAGTACATATTCTTCCTAGAAGAGACACCAATTTCTTGGAACTCTACAAAGGAACTAATGATGACTCTCTCATCCTATGAAGCTAAGTATATAGTTGTCTTTGAAGCGAGTTTGTCAAATAATTTGACTGGGTTGATTGATGAAAGAATTAAGGTAAAACACACATGTAAATTAAAGTTGTTGATTGATGAAAGAATTTTTTGGCTGAATAAACGTAGAAATATATAATTTTTTTAAGTTTAAGATTATAATCGTAAATATAATTTTACCATTCTAAAAAGATAAATTTGAAAATAATTCCTTTAAAGAACATACATTCACTAACTTGAAAGGTCAATTAAAGATATTTATAGGAAAGTTGATTTCAGAAATTTTGAAAAAAACTAACGTTTTTAAAAGACAATCTTGAATATTTTTAGAAAATTCATTCCAAAAATTTCTTAAAAAAACTCCAAAATATTTTCAACAAACTTCTTAAGGGTAATATTGTCTTGTTAGACTAATACGAGGTACAAGAAAAATATATGACGGTGGAGGAAGAATAAACTCTAAATATTTAATTCATTTTCAAAATTTAAAAGTCAAGTACAACATTTTATCTAGCTTAGCTAATTTTCTAAGAATATATCTAGTAAGAGTTCTCTAGAAAAAATTTTAAGAATAAAATATATCATGTAAAATAAATTTGCTTATATAAATAATCCTAATTTATTTTAAATAGTTCTGACTATATAAAATAATGTATTTTATATTACTAAAATATGTTTGTAAGAATTTATCGTAATAACACTCAAAATTAAGAGGTTGAAGTATAAGTTTTTTGAAGCAAAGTTTATATGGAGTTATCATGGTGAAGTTAAAATGTGTATTTAATTTATGTCCAAAAGTTAAAATTTAGGTGAAGTCGGGTCACGATCTAGGTTGAGATAGATTTATTTATGTTGTCGAAACACCCTTAATGAATTATTGAAAATTTCAAGTACTAGCATTTTCGATAGCATCGAAATTAGATCGATGATAATTTATATCGAATTCATATCTCTTATGATCCAGATTTACTCGTTATCTTGGTTTGGAATTGGAGACATGTGTTGTGTTACTAAACTTTACGCATTTCCTGGATTATGAGGTGTTACTAAATTTTGGGATATACCTAAATTCGAGGATACTCCAAAATTTGGAGACATTCCTAAGGTTTGAAATGTTCCTAGGTTTTGAGACATTCCTAGGTTAGGTCTCGTACTTCGTTATACTGAAGTATCAGCCCCATTCATATTGAGTAAACGTAAATCCATGCGGTCTTACACTCATATATGGACCTGCATACGTTGTTACGGGGCTTCCCGTAGTTTGCATACTGTTTGACATTATAGTTCCTATTAATTGAGTATTTGCTAATGTCTCTGAGCTTTGTTCATTATTCACTAGAATTGACGTACTCACATTTGTCGATATTACAAACATAGTTCCATTGTAAATTTGCCCCCCAGTATTTGGTGGATTTGGACTATTAGGAACCTCATTATTATTCTGACTATTTGGTGAATTTTGATTCATTCTTACTATTCTTCCACTCCTTAATCTCATACACTTTTTGAACTAGTCAAATTTTGTGTGTTTTTAACACACCACCCCTACTTGGCGTGCCAATTTGTTTCTGGTAAAATTTTTGGTTGTTTCGATTCCCTAAAAGCTAAGTCTTAATCAAATTTCAACCACCGTAAGTTCTTTTTATTTAGGCTAGCAAATCGTTTTTCAATAAAAAAATGTATGAAAATACTGAAATCAAAAGTTCTTTTTTATTTGTATTTTTTATTAAGAGACTTGAGAATACGAAAGTTGGCAGAAGTAAAGAAAACAGTAAAAAGGCGTCAAAGCAAAAAAGTAATACATGAAATTAAATTGCACAAGAGTAAATGATCAAGTAATCGAAATAACTGGAAAGTACAGGAAAGTAAATTTAACTTGCAAGTAGATAAATTACCTGAAAAGTAAAAAAAAAACGTAAAAAAAAAAAAACATCGAGACGAAGGGTAATACAGAATCTTAAATTGCATAAGTGTAAATGACAAGGAATTGGTAAAAGACAAATATGTAATGCAGAATCTTAAATTACATAAGTGTAAATGACAAGGAATTGAAATAACATGAAAGTACAGACAGGTAAATATAAATTGCATTAAAGATAAAGTACCAAGGAAAGTACAAAAAGCAGTAACAAAAGTCGATAAACGTGGAAATCCAGATTGCCAGAAACTTCATGATTCGTCGTTCTCCGGTAGACTTGTACAATAGATTTCTTCTCTCTCTGAAAATTCCCCTTCCTTCTTCACGCTTTGTCCTATTTATAGCCTTATTCAAATATAACCACCTAAGAGCGGTTTAAAAATCGCTACCATGTTCCCATGCACGAGACAACTAATCCCTCCTCGATCTTCGACCTCGACCTACAGCTTTAAAAATCGCTACCTATGTTCCCATATGCATGCTAACTATTCCCTCGATCTCGACCTCAACCACGAATTAGAAACCGCTATCCATGTTCCCATGTGCATGATAACCGTTTCCCTTGATCTCAAATCCAGACATCGAGTACTTTGAACCGCTTCGACTTCCCTCAAACTTAACTTCACACTCAATATTATTATCGATTTTTTACTCTCCATCATGTCATCAAATTTCTCTCATTCTATTCTCGATCGATGTTTCCATACTAATACATGGTCATCGAACCATTCTCAATTTCACATATCGATTTCTTTCCCACCAATACGATCATCGAATGTCTTCCAACCACCTTTCGATTTATCTATCGATTTTTAACCAACATATGGTCATCGATTTCCTTCCATCCGTACTTCGATCCATATATCGATTTTTCCCACCAATATGTTATAAAAAAAATAACATATAAAATTTTAGTTCGTCCAGATTTTTTTTTATTTTTTATGGTGAATTATAACTGAGAATCAATTATTATTTTATTTTTTAAGTTAATTTTTATAATAAAAAAATATTTTCTGTCTTTGTAAATATAGAAGATAAAATTTGCTTTTAATTCCTAAAATGAAATCATCTTTTTTTATTTCTTATATTTATGAAAAAATTTCAAGGTGACTCTTATTTTTCATTTTAGTATCTCATCTGAAAAATAAAATTAATTTATAAAAAGAAACTATATACTACCCATCAGCTTCGTCCCATTTGAAGGATAAAAACATTTGTTTAAAAAAAAAAACTAGAAAAAGGTAAAATTTTTAAAGAGACAACGATAAATTTAGTTGATTGTTGGAAAAAGAAAAAAGAAAAAAAAAAAAAAAGCATGTCCATTATCTTCCAAGATCTTTATAAACCAGAAAAGGCAAGTTTACAAATCAACGTCACCGGGTCTGAATTTTCGCAGTTGTTTGTGCAAAGAGAGAGAGAGATGGAGGGAATAGAGCACAGAACAGTGGAAGTGAATGGCATCAAAATGCACATAGCAGAGACAGGAGAAGGCCCTGTGGTGTTGTTTCTCCACGGCTTCCCCGAACTCTGGCACTCCTGGCACAACCAGATTGCGGCTCTTGGTTCTCTCGGTTACCATGCAGTGGCCCCAGATCTCCGTGGCTATGGTGACACCGAGGTCCCAGATTCAATCAGCAGCTACACTTGCTTTCACATAGTGGGTGATCTCGTTGCGCTTATAGACTTTCTGGGTGTTGATCAAGTGTTTCTTGTGGGTCATGACTGGGGTGCCATAATTGGTTGGTATCTTTGCATGTTTCGCCCGGATAAAGTGAAGGCCTATGTCTGCCTCAGTGTCCCTTTACTCCACAGAAACCCTAAGGTTAGAACCGTCGATGCCATGCGTGCTATGTATGGAGACGATTACTACATCTGCAGATTTCAGGTTACTTATTTCTCTCGCTTTCCATATTTAAACAATAATGTTTTGCAATTAATGTTAGGTGCATGAGAATAACTAATTGTACTTAAAACTTGTGACAGAAACCAGGTGAAATGGAGGCTCAGATGGCTGAAGTCGGAACTGAGTATGTGCTTAGAAACATCACAACTCGCAAACCTGGTCCTCCAATCCTTCCAAAGGGAAAATTTGGAACTGGATTCAATCCAGATATGACTAATTCCTTACCCTCTTGGCTCCCAGAAGATGATCTCGCCTATTATGTTTCCAAATTTGAGAAAACCGGCTTCACTGGACCCTTAAACAACTACAGAAATATGAACTTGTAATTAAAACCTATTTCTAGTTTTCTACTAGGATAATTGTTTGCCACTATATAATATAACTCAATGTCTCCTTTTTGGGAGAAGTGTTTGGGAAAAACCTAAGGAGGATCCAATAATTAGAAAGATGATTAATTATTTACATTTATGTTTGTATTTGCAGGAATTGGGAGCTGACAGCAGCGTGGAGTGGAGTGAAAATCCAAGTGCCAGTAAAATTCATCACAGGTGAGTTGGACATGGTATACACCTCACTAAACATGAAGGAGTATATCCATGGTGGAGGTTTCAAGGAAGATGTGCCAAATTTAGAAGAAGTTGTTGTGCAGAAAGGAGTTGCTCACTTCAATAATCTAGAAGCAGCTGAGGAAATCAACACTCACATTTACGATTTTATCAACAAGTTCTGATCTTATCTTACCTTATCCAGGAATGTATTGTCGGAACTGTTGCAGGTGCAGTGGGTCCAAATAGTTAAGTTGCACTTGATACGTAGGGTATCAAGGTTATGAATAAATCTTGCAGCTTGTCTGTAAAAGTACAAGTCTCTTACACGTTTTCTCATCAATACATCTATCTTAAATGTTTGTATTTGGAAGTAAAATGATGTCTTTTTAGGTTTTTTTATCAAAATGGTTTATTTTATTTTTTAAAATTAACGGATATGGATGAATTTTAGAGAATTACGAATTTAAATAAGCGGTGAAGTACAAATTCAAAATAAAATAAAAAATCGTGTTTATAAATATAATTTTAATTAATTTTTTTAGATTTATAGATCAATTTAAAAAAATATAAATTTAAATAAGTTGTGAAACACGAATTCAAAAAAAAAAAGTTTGATGCTTTATAATATGATTTCATTTTTTTTAGATTTAGGAAAAAAATAGAACTATTTAATACAATTTTTATATATTAATACGACTTCTATTTATTACTTTATAATAATTATTATATTATTATAATTGATAATAGTATTTTTTATAATATTAATAAAATAAATAATAATAATAATAATAATAATAAATTATAATAAATTATAAGTATTAGTATTATTATCATATTAATAATATAAATATTCTTATTATTATTTTTAATAATAAAAATTAAATTATATAATTAAAAATTTATTATTATTATTATTATTTATAATAATAAATAATAAAAATTACACTAATCTAATTAACACCACAAGATATTTTATAATTAGCTAGAAAAATTTATTACAAAATTTATTTTTCACTAATTTGTAGTTAATTAGCTATGGAATAGTGAATGAATGAGGTTGTAGTTGATATGTAATAAAATAGTTAGAAGACTAATATTTTTGTAGTTATTCTCTCACTTAACAGAAAAATAATTTAGTTAGAAAAATTGTTGTCACTAATCTCTCACTATAAATATTAGTTATGTTATTTTTTAAAGTTATTTCCTAGCTAAATTGTGTAACATACAATCATAACTAAATTGTAACAAATTTATAGCACATATCAAATTGAAAAAAATATTAAGTTGCTAGGAACCATTCTCTTATTATTTCAATACGAATTTGTTAGAGATTTTTTGTAGGTGTCTCTTACAAATCCAAGTCAACTTTCTACTAAAAATTATTTATTTTTTGTATTCTTTTCAAAAAATTATTTACAAAAAATAATTGTAAATTTCTCTACAGATATATAATTGTAAAAAATAATTTTGATCTTTTTAAAAAAATATCAAGAAAAATTAATTACAATTTTTTCTTAAAAAAATATTTAAAAATTATTTTTACCAAATTTACTTTATATATATAACTTTTTTTTTATATCTAACATAAATTATTTTGAAATAATTATAATTTTTTTTAAATATCTAAAAAAATTGGTAAATTTTTAAAATTATTTTCTGTAAATTTTTTATAAATTTAAATTTATATGAAATATTTAATGGTATTTAAATTAGTAGAAAATTTTATAAATAATTTTTTTATAATTTTTTTAAAATTAATCTTTATCTCACTTTCTTATACCTAATCCCCTTTTCTCTCTTCTCTGAAACCTATAACTTTTCTCTACTACAGTCGTTATCGCCGCTGTTGTTGTCGTCACTGCCGCTGCTGTTGTCATCGACGTTGCTGCTGTCATCTTTGCCGCTGCTGTTGCCGCCACTGCCTCTGCCACTCACGGTATAGTTTCAAATTAACAATTGATTTGCATTTTTGTGATTGTCCTCTATTCCTAGCCTTGTGGTTCTGAAACCAGTAGAACAAATTCTTTCCCTCTATCCTGCCATAGAAAGAAAGGTGTGTAGTTGCTTTTGTGTCTATTCTAAATATTTAGAGGATGAATATACCTGTTCAGTTGAATTGTTTTATTAAAAAGCTAAGACCAGTTTTTTTTGGTGCATTCTTGTTATGCCTGTCTAAGATGCATGTGTAGTTCAAACTTATTTTGTAGCAAACAATAAAGAGATCATCAGCATGTTCTTTATTCTCACTTGTGTGAAATGAAACATCGGCAAATGGATCATCATCATTTTTTAGTTCTTGACTGGCTCCAACAGAGCCGCTAAAATCTCCAAATAAATCATCAACCAGAGGAGTGGATGTCAAAATTGATATGTTTTGATCTGATATACTCTTTAGAGTGTCCTCAGTTCCATGATAATCATTTGAATCACCCGTGTCTATAAAGTTAGGCAGCTCTACAATAGCAGGATTCTCTGTTTTCACAACATTCTCTAAATTAATTGCAAAGTTGTTTGGTTGGCTTCCACCTAAAAGACCAAGAATCTGTCCAACATGAAGCCAAGTTCTGAATTAAATTACAAGGGTGGTTACTCTTAAACTTATTATCTCACATCAACTCAGTGCTAAGTGGTCTAAAACTATTACAACATCTCCAACAACATAGCCTTATCCCACTAGGTCTAAGCTATTACCATTAAAATATTTAAAAAATTTATAAACGACACTTTAAAAGCTATTACCATTAAAATATTTAAAAAATTTATAAACGACACTTTAAAAGCTATTACCATTAAAATATTTAAAAAATTTATAAACGACACTTTAAAAGCTATTACCATTAAAATATTTAAAACATTTATAAACGACACTTTAAACATTTGGTATATCATAATTCATTTCCTATACAACTGACAAAGAACAAAAAACAAACAGCACATTTACAAGGGTTTGAGACTCACAAAGAATTCCTTACTGGTATCCATATTTTCAAAGCTAACAACAAAATATTAATTATCAAAGTTGTTTACAATTCAGATTCCATTATAATAATCAACATCCAACCAACTCAGTCCAAAAAGTTTCACATGAAAAGCCCATCCATAACCTGTTAATACATTTTCTCCAATCTACATTGCTAAACCATTAGAACCAATGTTGAAACCTGAGTGGTTAGTGCTCTCCAAATCCACATATTCACTAAAGGCATGTTACCAAATTCACTTATACATTGGCTTAGAAACCTTTGATGATATTATCCAAAGTACCACCTTTACCTTAGGGACAATAATGCACAACTGACTTTAGATTAATAATTCAGTACAAACTAGTGATCTATTACTAGTTTTTTCATTACTGAAACTTGAGGTAACTTAATCACACATAAAATTAGATTGAAATAAGCATGAAATGTAAAAATGATTGAGATGGAATTTTCACGTAATAACTATTTATTTAGGTAGATAGGGAGCGTACCTTCGCAGTCCTTTCCCTTAAAGAGACTTGGGAAGATTCATAACATATCAACTACACAGATATCTAGTTTGTAAGAGCAGATGAAAACACAGTTGCAGACACAAACTGATATGTAAGCATTGATGCAAGTACAAATGAAGACACAAGTAGAAATACAAACACTCATGCAACAACGAATGCAAGAAGAAATGCAATCTTTCAAGAAAGATTTATTATCTACCTTAAAGAAACAATGATGAAAATGTATTTTAAACTTTATTTCTATTTTTAATTGTGTTATGAACTTTTTAGTTGAAATATTATTTTTGTTATGTTTTAATTGTTTGAAACATCATTTTAACTATGTTTAAACAATACTTTTATATGAAAAGTTGATAAAATTGTCTTCTTTTTCAAGAATGAGTAATAATTTAAATGTTAAACATTTGATATTATAATATTATGATGATACATTAGTAGAAATATTTATTACGACAATAAAATTGTGAGAGAATAGCTATGAATTAATGAGAGATTAGATACGGATTAGTAAGAGATTAACTATGGATTAGTGGGAAGAGAATTTTGATAATAATTGTGATGGATTAGCTATGAAATTGCAAGAGAAACATTGCAAAGGATTAGCTACTGATTAGCGAGAAAATAATTGCGAGAAATTATCTACAGATAAGCTAAAGATAAATTGTCGATGATTAACTACAGTATTAGCGACAAAAATATTGTGAGGGATTAGCGAGAGAAAAATTGCGACTGATTAGCGACAAATTAATGATAGAAAATTGCGAGGGATTAACTACGAATTAGCGAGAGAAAAATTGTGAGGGATTAGCTACTGGATTAGCGAGAGCGAAATTGTAAAGGATTAACTATGAATTAGCAAGAGTGAAATTGCGAGGGATTAGCGAGAGAAAAATTGCGAAAGATTAGCTACAACTTTTGAGAGATCAATTAGCTAGAGAGAAATAAAATTTCATCACTTAAATTAGCGAGAGACTTAGCGACGATTGACGACAAAATTTACTACAAATTTGAGAGAGAATACATCTCTATCTAATTAGCTACTTGGATTTAGTGATCGACTATTCCATAGTTATTCTATAGCTAATCCGTAACAAAACATACCAATGAGAGATTATCTATAAAATAGCTACGTGAATGCATCATAACTAATATGAAAAATTCTTATAGTGTAATATATTTTAATAATTATTATAATTATATTATAAAAATAATTTAATATTATTATAACTTATAATAATAAATTTAATACATTTAACTATTATTATATATATATATATATATATATATATATATATTTAATAAAATTATATGATATCTCACTCACACACATAAACATTTGGAACATTAAATTACTAATAAATCAATCATTTGTAAGAAAGTTACTCATAAGACGAATCACATAACCAACAACGTATAATTGAGAAACATTCTTTTGCTCGCTTAACTTTGTACTAAGCACGATGCAAACTATTAACTAATAAACCGTGCACAACATTTCTCCAATTATAATTATCTAATGTCTCTAAATCATCTAATAAACTAAAAGGAACACTATGAACAAGGTACGATGTGCAGGAAAGTAAAAAATCGTCCACCCAAGTAAGATATAAAGCCTATAAAAGTCAACTACATATTTAACATGCTTAATTTTTTTTCCTTTCAACTTCCTAACCATATTTTGTTACTCGCTATTGGTTCTTCTTCGTCGAACAAATCTTTTACTAAACATGAACCACTATCTTCTAAAACAACTACCTCTCCCCTTATACGTAAACCTAACGAAAAACAAACATCTAAAGGGGTGAATGAGACAAGATATTGTTTTATTCTAAAACAATGATCACTAATCGACTATCGACTAGCTAGTTCTCTTATAACATTGCTAGATATTTGCAATTACTCTTTTATTTGAAGAAGCCATTTAAACCTGAGTTTCTTTAATAGATGCTCGTTGTGTTTAGTCAACTTTGAAATCTTGTGTCTTAATCTTATCTGCATCTATTATATCATATATAACATACATAACATATAACAAATCAAATATTTAGTAAATCACTTTTCATAAAATAACTATAATTAACATGCACATACCTTTTTTCTCGTACGACTTCGCCTTTTTTCGCAAACATTTTTTCCCAAATTATTCCTCGTCGTACAAATTATTAAAATTAAACTTACAATGACAAAATAGTAAAAAAAATTAAGTCCAAGCATGTTACACATAATTTTGGTGAAATTGTGTATTATGCAAACGTGTGTGTAAATCTTGTGCATATTATACAAAAGGTTTGTGATGCAAATACAATTCTTCATTAGTAGCATTTCATCAAACACTTGTTCAGACATTAATATAGCATCACAACTCAATTAACCCTAAACCCTTAAGAATACTTTCATTACAAACTCAATCAAAGATAAACAGAAAACAAAGCAAAAATGCGCAAATACAATTCTTCATTGTAGCATTTCATCAAACACTTGTTCGACATTAATATAAACATCACAACTCAATTAACCCTAAACCCGAAGAATATTTTCATTACAAACCTAATCAAAGATAAACATAAAACAAAGCAAGAATGTGCAAATACAATTCTTCATTGTAGCATTTCATCAAACACTTGTTCGACATTAATATAGCATCACAACTCAATTAACCCTAAACCCTCAAAAACACCTTCGTTACAAACTCAATCAAAGATAAATAGAAAAGAAAACAAGAATGGAAACCCAATAAAAAATACACAGTAAAATCAAGCAAATGGAGTAGCACGAACACTCACCGCAGAGGTCGCTCAAGCGAGAGATAGTGATGTTCAGCTCGAACGACACGAAGGAAGACAAGTGAAAGGAAGTCGAGCGTCGTGAAGAGCGAGACGGAGAAGACAAGCGAAAAGTTACCATAAGTCAAGCGAGAGGAAGTCGAGCGAGGTCGAGCGAGAGGAAGTCGAGCAAAAAATACTGTAACGAAAACATATATTTCACTTTTTACAATATCATCCTTCCATTTTTACAATATTACATATCTGACCCTTATAATTTAATAATTAAATTCTTATTTTTAATTAATTTATTTTTGACCCAATTGTCAAACGGATGTTCTTTTTTCTGGTTGTCAAAGTATTGTTTTCGTTAAGGTTATGAATAAATCTTGCAGCTTGTGTGTAAAAGTACAAGTCTGTTACACGTTTTCTCATCAATACATCTATCTTAAATGTTTGTATTTGGAAGTAAAATATGTCTTTTTATGTTTTTTTTATCAAAATGGTTTATTTTATTTTATTTTAAATTAACGGATATGGATGAATTTTAGAGAATTACGAATTTAAATAAGCGGTGAAGTACAAATTCAAAATTAAAAAAAATCGTGTTTATAAATATATTTTTAATTAATTTTTTTAGATTTATAGATCAATTTTAAAAAAATATAAATTTAAATAAGTTGTGAAACACGAATTAAAAAAAAAGAGTTTGATGCTTTATAATATGATTTCATTTTTTTTTAGATTTACGAAAAAAAATAGAACTATTTAATACAATTTTTATATATTAATACGACTTCTATTTATTACTTTATAATAATTATTATATTATCATAATTGATAATAGTATTTTTTATAATATTAATAAAATAAATAATAATAATAATAATAATAATAAAAATAATAAATTATAATTATTAGTATTATTATCATATTATTAATTATATTAATAATATAAATATTCTTATTATTATTTTTAATAATAATAATAATTAAATTATATAATTAATTTTATTATTATTATTATTTATAATAATAAAATAATAAAAATTACACTAATCTAATTAATATTTTAATAATTATTATAATTATATTATAAAAATAATTTAATATTATTATAACTTATAATAATAAATTTAATATATTTAATTATTATATATATATATATATATATATTTAATAAAACTATATGATATCTCAATCACACACATAGACATTTGGAACATTAAATTACTATATAAAATACATAAAAAAAAAACACAAAACACATGGAACGTAAAACTCATGTCATAAATTTACAAAACAAAACCAAATCTATTTTTAAAATCTGAAGATTGATTTCTGAAAAGACATCAGTATATCAGTTTATTTTTTAAAATTATTTTAATTATAAT